AAGCCACAGCAGCAGCTGCCCAGGTCCCTTCTCTAAGCTAGCTCTAAACCAAGTGTTCTGGGAGAGGGGCAAGGGGTACCCTGCTCCTGCCACCAGCTGCTCCACCCGTGCCCCAGTGAGCAAAGAGCCAAGCAGTCCCCTTCCACTGCAGGAAAGGCCTGCCTGTGGCCCAGGAACCACTCAAAGCAGATGTGCAGAGCTCTGGTCACCATGTGCCCATGGGGCCAGGGCCAGCTCCATTCAGCCATTCTGCTCCAGCCATTCTGCTCCAACCATCCAGCTCCATTCAGCCTTTCTGGCCAACCCCACGAGTGCAGCCCCAGGGCAAAGGGCAGACACGCACGCCAGGCCCTGTGGTGCGCCAGGGCAGGGGCTGGCAGGGATGTACCTGATGATGGTGTGCATGCCCCGCACCTGCGGCGTGCTCTCCAGGACACTCAGCGTCTTGGGCAGGGGCTGTCCTTGGTGGGCCGAGGCCAGGGCTGCCCTGCAGGGAGGAGGGTGCTCAGAGCTGTGCAGCACACACACACCCACAGCCCTGGGCCACCCTGCCAAAGGAAGGCTCCAGAAACACCCCTCTGAAAGGTCAGCACCGTGCTTGGCCTTCCCTGGATCCTGAATAACACCCCAAGTCTGGCAGCAGGCATGAGACCCCAGAGCTGGACTGCCAAAAAACATTGGGGTGAACCTCCCAGAGCACACCCACGGCTGCAGCAGCCTCTGCAGGGCACGACATGCCCTGTACCCTGGGACTGGGCTGTCACCACAAGGGACAAGGGCTGTCCTGCCCAAAGGGAACATGAAGTGCCAGGAACAGGGACCATGCAGGGCACTTCTCCCATAGAAGTGAGCACCCCAGGGTAAGTCAGCAGCCAGGACATGAGCAGGGCAGGCAGCCGGCCACAGGCATCAGCCACAGTGTGGGGTGTGTCCCACAGAGCCCAGGGCTGCAGCCAGACAGGCCCTGAGGAGCTGAGCACAGCCCTGGGGAGCAGCAGCTGCGCTCAGGCACCTCAGCAAAGCTCTGCCAGCAGGAACACAGAACCCAGTGGGTGCCAGCAGCCCCCCAGGCCAGAACAGGCTCCTGTGCAGCCGTGGGTCCCACGTACCTGACTGTGATCTCCCGCTGGTGGTGCAGAGGTCACGGTGCAGCGCAGGGAACAGGAAGGACAGACATCCTGTCAGTCACTCACAGGCAGCACAGCCACCCCAACAGCCCAGCTCCCCACCCTCCTCCCCAGTGCCCACTGCCCCGATCTGCTCTCCCAAGCACCACGCTGGGGTCTCTTGAGAAGAGAGAGGTGATGCAAACACCCCCCAGGTGCTCCCAGAGCCCAGGTGTGTGTGCAGCCACATCCTGCCCTCTGATGCAGGACCCCTCCCCTCCTCAGCCCCGGCTCACCTTTTCCAGCTGGCTGTGCACGTGCTGCACAATGAGGTCCAGTGCCACGGAGTTCTCCCCACCTGCGGGCGGAGCAGAGGAGGTAGGTGGGGCGGGCGCTGACCCACCTGCCCCGCAGCACCCGCTCCCCACGCCAGGCTCAGCCCCGGCCTCACCCCTGGGCACCACGATGTCGGCCACCTGCACGGTGGGCTCGATGTACTGCTCGAAGGCTGGCTTCACAAACTTGTTGTACTGCTTGATGACGCCCGCCACGTCGCGCCCGCGCTCCATGATGTCGCGCTGCAGCCGCCGCACCAGCCGGATGTCGGAGTCCGTGTCCACAAACACTTTCATGTCCAGCAGCTGGAAAACTGGGAGGGGTGAGCACCCCCTATGCAGCCCCCATCACACCTGCGTTATTCCCTCCACCACCCCTCAGTGGCACCCAGCATCACCTCCCCTGGGGCCTCTGACAGGCAGTGCTCTGTCAGCAAGCGCGGTGAGCTCTCCCTCCACAGCCCCACTGCAGAGGCACCCAGGCCAGTGCCTGCCCCGCTGCAGCACAGCATCCCCTCGGGCCAGCGGCCACCTGAGGCAGCGATACCTTGAGCAGCTCCTTGTTGGCGAAGGCCAGAATCCCTTCAAACACGATGACGTTGGCCCCATACACTGTTTTCTGCAGGCAGACAGGAGCTGGGTTTGTCCTGTTTCTCTCACATGCCACAGCAGCACCAACACTGACATACGCAGGGCACTGACCCCCCTGGGATCTCACCGCTGTGCTGGGGCTCCCCATAACCATCCTGCAGCACCCAATGCCTCGGAGCTGTAGTCAATCCCTGTGCGTGATGCTCCAGGCCAGGACAGACCCCCAGCCTTGCTCTAGATCCCAAGCCTCTGCTCAGAGCCATCCTCCCAGCACCTCTGCCCACTGAGTCCCTCCCTCATATCTGCACTGGCCTGCTGGCATGTCCCCCCCAGTCTCCTATGAATGAGTCCCCCATTCCTGATGACCCCAGCCACCCCCTCCCTTTAGCCCTCCGGACCCTGCAGGGCCCAGAGGCGTTCCCCTTTCCCAGGACCCTGCCAGCCAGGCTGAGCCCGGCCCCCGGCACCCACCCACTCGCGGCGCCGGCTGTGTGTGGTGAAGTCGTACACCGGCACCTTCACGCTCTTGCCCTTCTTGAGCTTGCGCAGGACATTGACGAGCAGCTCGAAGTCAAAGGCATCGGGGTGGTCGAAGTTGTAGTCGCTGCGGGCTGCCAGCGCCTGCTGCCCCTCATCCAGCACCTGCAGGCGCTGGCACTGCTCAGGGCCGTGCCGGATCCCGGCACCCACCGGCACCCCATTCGCGCTCAGAGCCGCACCCGATCCCTGCAGCCCGAGCACCGGCAGCACCCAGCGGTACACTGGAACCGGAGTGTCGGCCCGGCTCGGCGCTGCCCCGAACCCCGGGCCCCGTCCCGCACCTTGTAGAAGGAGTCCATGGAGAGCAGCACGACCCAGGGCACGTCCAGCGCCTCGATGATCCGCGTCGCCACCGTGGTCTTGCCGGAGGCGCTGCCGCCGCACAGGCCTGCGGGGAGCGGCGGGGGCACCGCCCCGGTCCGGATCCGTCACGGGCCCGGATCCAGATCCGACTCCGGCCCGGTCCCAGCCCCTCCCTCGGGGCCTCGTTCCCCGATTCCCGACCGCAGCCCGACCCCGGCCCCGGTCCGGCCTCCATCCCTTCCACGGCCCGCTCTCGGCTCCATCCCCTCCCCAGCCCCGTCCCGCCGCTCACCGATGACAAAGGCCTCATCTACGGGCGCGCCGGTCTCGCTGTACCACGGCGGCCGCCCGGCCGTGTAGATAGTGCGCTTGCTGGTGCGCAGCAGCGGCGGCTCCGGCTTGCACTGGCTGGCGGTGCGGCGCCGTGGGGCCGGGGCGGGCGCCAACGGCAGGCGGCTGAGCAGCGAGCCCAGTGGGCCGGGGCCGGGAGCGGAGCTGTGGGCGCGCTCCGGCCCCGCCGCCCCCCGCCGCTCCTCAGCGCCCGCCGCCGCCATCGCCGCGCGGGCCGCGGGGGCTGCCGGGACAGGACGGGCTGCGCACGGCACGGGGAACAGGCCCCGCCCCTGAGCGAGGGCCCGCCTCTGAGTGAAGCCACGCCCCTATCGAGGCCCGTCCTGTGTTAAGTCCCGCCCCTGAGTGAAGCCCCGCCCCCATGAGGCTCCGCCCCGACTGGTGCCCCGCCTCCTAGTGTGACCTGGCTGAGGCCCCGCCTCTTACCGAGGCCCCGCCCCAGACGCCCCGGGAGAGCGGGACTCACCGGCAGACTGGGGCTGTCACACCGGGGCTCACCTGCACAGCCCTCCCTGGGGCTGTCACACCGGGGTTCACCTGCACAGCCCTCCCTGGGGCTGTAACACACACCGGGGCTCACCTGCACAGCCCTCCCTGGGGCTGTAACACATACCGGGGCTCACCTGCACAGCCCTCCCTGGGGCTGTCACACACACCAGGGCTCACCTGCACAGCCCTCCCTGGGGCTGTAACACACACCGGGGCTCACCTGCAGAGCCTCCCTGGGGCTGTCACACCGGGGCTCACCTGCACAGCCCTCCCTGCAGGGCTGTCACACAAGGGTTCACCTGCAGAGCCTCCCAGCCTGTCCCTGTCCCTGTCCCTGCAGCATCACGGGCTGCTCGGGGCTGTCCCCAGCCTGTCCCTGTCCCTGTCCCTGCAGCATCACAGGCTGCTCGGGGCTGTCCCCAGCCTGTCCCTGCCCCTGTCCCAGGTGTCCTGGGCACCCAGCGCTGGGCCTGGCGCCGTGGGGCGGTGTCCAGGACACGCCAAGGGCGCGCTGTTGGTTCACGTTCTGCCGGGTGTCTCCCGGGACCCCTGGAGCCTTTTCCCAGCCGGCTGCCCCTGCCCGTCCTGAGGTTGTTCCTGCCCGGTCAGGACCGGCCCTGCCCCGTGCTGGCCCTGCCCAGGCTCCTGGCCCGGCTCCGCAGCACGGAGCAGCACGGGCCGTGTCATTTGTCGCCGCGCTGAGGGGGCTCAGCCTGGCCGCAGACGGGGCCGGACTCGGCACCAAGCCCGGGCTGCGCCGGTGGTTCCGGGGCGCTGAACGCCCTGCTCTGGGCCCGGCCATGCCGTGCAGCCCCTCCGGCTCAGCCAGCCCGAGCTCCCAGCGCTTCTCTCGGAGGATCGCGGGCGGACAGCGCCAAAGTCCTTCCTGCAGCCCGGCAGACGCGGTGCCCTGCGCTGCCCTGCGCACCGGCTCCGGCACCGCGGCGGGCGATCCCGCGGGCAGGCACGATCCCCGCCGTGCCCGCTGCTCCCCCCTCCCCTCGTGTCCCTCCCGTGCTCAGACGGATCCCAGGGTCAGTTCTGTCATCGCCTGCCGGGGACGGGAGGCGCGGCGGAGAGCCCCGAAGAGCTTCTCCCGCGAGAGCAGCGCCCTTACACGCAGCTCCGGTGTATTCTCCCGGAGATCCGCCGGGCCGCCCCCGCCCCGAGCCCGGAGGGGCGGCACCGGGGCGGGGCGGCCCCGCCACCCGCGTGTGGGCGGGACCGGGGGCGGAGTCGCGGCAGGGGCGGGGCTCGGCGGTGCCGGTGCCCGCGGTGCCGCTCGCTCCCGGGATGGAGCCCTCGACCGGCACCGAGAGCGCCCGCCTGGTCAGCCCGCGGGGCGGCCGCGCCGACGGCAGCCTGCGCCTCAAGAGGTACCGCCGGTACCGGCAATCATCACCCCGGCATTCCATCACCGGCACCCATCACCGGCACCCATCACCGGCACGCTTCACCCCAGCATCCCGCCACCGGCACCCACCATCGGCGCCCATCGCCCCGGCACCCATCACCCTGGCACCATCACCCCGGCACCCATCACCGGCACCCATCACCGGCACCCATCACTGGTACCTATCACCGGCACCCATCACCGGCACCCATCACCGGCACCCATCACCCCGGCATCCCATCACCCTGGCACCATCACCCCGGCACCCATCACGGCACCCATCGCCCCGGCACCCATTGCCCCGGCACCCATCAGCCCGGCACCCACCATCGGCGCCCACCACCCCGGCACTCACCATCGGCACCCACCATCGGCACCCATCGCCCCGGCATCCCCACCACCGCCAGCACAACTCCATCACCGGCGCCTCCGGCACCGACGGCACTCCCATCACCGGCATGCCCGACACTCCATTCACCACCTGCACTTCCATCAGCACCGGCACACCATCGTCCCGACAGCCCCATTACCGGCGCTAGCACGTCCGTCGCCGGCACCCCGATCACCCCGTCACCTCCAGGCTCCCCGGCAATTCCTCGCACCGTCACCCCCATTATCTCCCGCATCTGCAACCCCCGGTCCTCCCGCACCCGCTCGCCCATCATCCCCGGCACCTCCATCACCCTCAGCTCCTCGGGCACCCCCGCAAGCCCCCGGCACGTCGCGCAGCTCCCACCTCCGACACCGGCACCCCCGGCACGTCCCCCGTGCCTTCATCCATCCGAGCGGACACCGGCACCTCCGCAGTCCCCGCGCCAGCGCTGCCCGCCCGCCGCCTGCGCCGCCACCCCGCCACTGGCACGCTCAGCCGCCGCCGGCACCTCCGCTCGAGCGGAACCGGCCCCGCCGTGCGCCAGCCCCGCTCCCCGCTCGGGTGTCCGTCCCGCACCTATCGGCGCCCAACGTCACCCACGCACACCGGTACCATCCATCCATCCATCCATCCATCCATCCATCCATCCATCCATCCATCCATCCATCCATCACCCGCCCACACCGGTGCCGTTCATCCGTTAGCCCCCGTCCCGGTGGGCTGCCCGTCCCCGCTCCCGCACTGCTGCCCCACGCACCGGGACCGGGACCGGGACCCGGCCCCCGCCGCCCCTTCCCCTCACCCCGCGTCTCCGCACCGCTGGCCCGTCCCGCAGCCTTGGGTGCAACACCTCGCTCCCGGCTGCACCGCCCCGTGGTACCCGCGCCAGTTTTCGGTTCCGGCGGGAGCCCCGTGCCGCCGTCTCCGGCTGCTGCCGCCGGTCCGTGGCTGCTCGTCCCGCTGGGAGCGGGGGTTCCACCGGTGCCCGACGCGGCCGCATAGCAGGGGGAGGCAGCAGGACCCTCGGGGGGCCTGGGCAGGAGCCCCCAGCCCGCGCTGCCGGCAGTGACCCCCGGCCCCAGTCTCTTCACAGGCTCTGGAGATCCCTCAGCACCGGCGGCCCCAGATCCGCGCTGCCGCTGCAGCCCCCCGAGCCCCAGCCCCGGGCAGGGCCGGCTCCAGGCCCGCCGGCAGCTGAGCGTCGCCTGCGCCGTCTGCTGCCTCTTCATGGTCGGGGAGGTGATAGGTAACACCTGTCCCCCAGGCGGGCCCCGGGGTGCCAGCGGGGCGCGGGGTGCCAGCAGGGCGCGGGGTGCCAGCCGCTCTGTGCCCGCAGGCGGATACCTGGCACACAGCCTGGCCATCATGACGGACGCAGCCCACCTGCTGACGGACGTGGGCAGCATGTCCGTCAGCCTCTTCTCCCTCTGGGTGTCCAGCCGCCCGGCCACCAAGACCATGACCTTCGGCTGGCACCGCTCGGGTGAGCCCAGGGGCGCGGCCCTGCGGGCTCCGGGGACCGCAAGCCGGGTGGGCGCTGATGGGTGTCACCCCATAGAGACGCTGGGTGCGCTGGCCTCCGTGCTCTCCATCTGGGTTGTGACCGCGGCCCTGGTCTACCTGGCGGCCGCCCGCATCATCAGCAACGACTACGAGATCGAGGCGCGAGCCATGCTGGCCACATCGGCCTGTGCCGTCGGTGTCAATCTGGTGTATGTGCCCTGTGTGCAGCCGTGCTCCCCATCAGCTCAGTCCTGCCCCTCTGTGACCCCAGCTGCGCCCCCAGGTCACTTTGTGCCCCTGTGCACCAGCCTTGTGTCCCCAGGCGCTGCCACCCCCACTTCCCTGTCCCCCACATGCTCGGGGCTTCCAGTCCATGTGCCCACGTCCCCACTCCCCACACTCCCGGGTCCCTCAAGCAGCGCCTCCCAAGCCCTGTCACGAGCCCCAGGACCAAACCCCTGCCCTGCTCTGCACACCTTCCAGCCCTGTACACCTCCAGCCCCACTCCTCCCACGCTCCCCAGCCCCAGGTGTGACACCTGTGCCCCCTCTGCCCAAGCAGGGCCCCCCCACACGCCCTGTCAGTGTGGCACTGAGCCATCCTGCTCCTTGCAGCATGGCCTACATCCTGCACCAGTCCCCTGCTGGCCACGGCCATGGCACAGGGGCCTACGAGCGGCTGGAGAGCTCAGCGTGCTGCCAGCCCAGCCCCGTGCCCGGCAGCACCAGCGTGCGGGCAGCCTTCGTCCACGTGGTGGGTGACCTGCTGCAGAGCGTCAGCGTCCTCGTGGCTGCCACCATCATCTACTTCAAGGTGTCCGGGCTGGGCCACCCCAGCGCTGCCCGTGGGAGCAGGGGGCCACGTGGGCTCTGCCCCCAGCCTCACGGAGACCCCCTCTCTGCAGCCCCAGTGCAAGATCGCAGACCCCATCAGCACCCTCTTCTTCTCCGTCTTCGTCCTCGGCTCCACCATCACCATCCTCAGAGATGTCTTCATGGTCCTCATGGAAGGTGAGCAGTGGGTGAGAGGGGTGTGAGACTCGGGCACAGGGCGGGCACAGGAGCTCCTGGAGCACCATCTGCCGCAGCACTTTGCCATGAGGCAGCTCCCCTCCTCTGTGCCTCCCCTGAACCCCCCCAGTTCCTCCTCTCCAGCCAGCCAGGTGCATTGGCCCCAAGGTGAGGCCTGTGTCACCCCAAAGCCACCGTGCCCAGCCTGGCTGCCCTGGGGGAGCCCTCAGCCCCAGCCAGGTGGGTGCCGTGTCTGGGGGCCGAGGGGGGCCCGTGTGACCAGGGGTGCTGCTGGCAGGGGCCCCGCGGGGGCTGCACTTTGACGCGGTGAAGGAGGCGCTGCTGGGAGCCCGCGGCGTGCGGGGCGTCCACGACCTGCACCTCTGGGCGCTGACGCTGAACCACGCCGCCGTGTCGGTGCACGTGGCCGTGGGTGAGTGACCTGCACGGGGCATGGCCGGGGGGTCCCATGGCCAGAGTCCCATAACCCTGCCAGGAACGAGCCCCTGCCCTGCTGGGGTCCCATGGCCGGGGTCCCATGGCTGTGCCAGGAACGAGCCCCTGCCCTGCTGGGATCCCATGGCCGGGGTCCCATGGCCGGGGTCCATGGCTGTGCCAGGAACGAGCCCCTGCCCTGCTGGGGTCCCACGGCTGTGCCAGGAACCAGCCCCTGCCCTGCTGCTCCTAGATGCCGGCGCTGACACGGAGATGGTGCTGCAGGAGGTCACTGCCCGGCTCCAGAGCAGGTTTGGCTTTGCCCTGTGCACGGTACAGGTGGAACAGCACCAGGAGGAGTCAGCAGGCTGCTCCCACTGCCAGGACCCCCGAACCTGAGACCCCCACCTACTGCTATGTTGGGCCAGATGTGGCCCTGGCCCCAGCTCCTTGTGCTAGAGCAGGGCAGTGCTTGAGATCCCATCTCCCCTCTACCCACCCCACTGCTGCTGCAGAGCCCTGGGGTGGGACAGTGACTCCAGTGTGGTGTCCTGGGGGGACAGACACATGGCCTGGCCTGTGGAGCACAGGGGCCCCCTGGAACCTTCCACTCCCTGAGGAGGTGGAATCCTGCCCCACCACGCGGTCCCCAGGGAGCCCGTCTGTCCTGGCAGGAAGGGACATCCCCCATGGGGGCCCTCAGACCTGGCCCCGGCCCCAGCCCCCCGTGCTGCTGCCTGGGCTCTGTCTGAACCCTCCTGTGCCTGGCCCTGACCCATTCCCTCTGCTGAGTCGTGCCTGTGCCCCTGGTGTCCATCTGTCCATCTGTGCCAGCAGCGGTGCCAGCGCTGCCAATAAATGTGTTGGAGCAGCAGCAGCAGCAGTGCAGCAGAGGGGCACGGGGAGGGAAATGGTGGATTTAGGGGTGGGCCCCTACAGCCACACCTGCCCTGGTGCCAGCACCAGCACAGCCATACAAAACCAACCACGTTTATTGTGCACAGCTGAACACAGCTCAATGTGAGCGACTCCACGGCTCCCGGCCCTCCCCGCCCTCACGGGGCACTCCCTGGGGATGGAGGCGAGCACAAGCACAGCTCCAGCTGGTGGAGCCCAGGGGCTTCACAGGGTCACACCCACAGCTCAGCCCTGGCCACGCCAGCCCCACCAGCCCTGCCCAGCTCAGACCAAACGGTGCAGACAGACCCTTCCAGGCCCAGAGCACCACAGGGCACGGCTGGGAGCAGCTGTCCCCCTGCAGCAGACACCCATCAGGAAAGCAGCACCACCAGAGAGGGCCCACAGCCCCATGCCAGCACAGCTGGCCCAGCCCCAAGCCCCAAGCCCTGCCCGGGGTGAGCACACGGCAGCAGCACGGTGAGGCACTGACGCCCTACTCCCCTGGCAGCAGGGAGGGCTCAGGGGGGCCAGGGCTGCCGGGCGTGTCCCCATAGAGGACGCTGAAGCGGGCCTGGCACTCTGGGAGCAGCTGGCGGCCCACGAAGGCCAGCCCTGCCAGGCAGTGTGCCCGCACGATGCCCGCCTGCCCGCCCGACAGCAGCCAGCCCTGCGAGTCCAGGTTGGGGCTGAAGCGCACCTGTGGAGAGAGGAGCTCCTGAGGGACGGGACTGGCTGCTGGGCCTCGGCCCCAGGGCAGAGCAGAGCCACCCGAGCGCTGGGCTGGGCTCACACCGTGCCACCCACCTTGTGCAGGGCCTCCAGCTGCAGGCGGTCCAGGCTCAGCTCTGCCTTCAGCTCCTGCACGTGCATGCGCCGCATGGGCTCCCGGCTCGGCAGGTTCTGGAAGCTGCGCTGCAAGGGGAGGCACCACCTTGGGCTGCGGGCCGGGGCAGGAGCAGGGCATGCAGCGTGACCTCAGCCCTGCCCCAGCAGCATGTCCAGCCCTGCCACAGGCCCCCAGCCCTGCCCCAGCAGCATCTCCAGCCCTGCCGCCCAGGCACAGCCCCCCATTCCTGCTTGGGGTCAGACCCTGCCACCCCCCAGCCCAGCCACAGCCCCCCATTCCTGCTTGGGCTGGACCCTGCCACCCCCTGCCCAGCCACAGCTCCCAGCCCTGCTCATGCCCAGACCCTGCCCAGCCACAGCCCCCATTCCTGCTCATGCCCAGACCCCGGCTGCCCCAGCCTCCCGTACCAGGTCGGTGTCCTGGAAGCGCAGGTAGCTCCTGGCTGCCATCTCGCTGTAGCGATGGGTCCGGGGCAGGCCCTGCTCGCTGCCCTGGGTTCCCTCGGGGCTGCACGGCAGCAGGTCAGCTTTGTACACGGGCTGTGGGGGAGAGGCGGCTCAGGGCAGGGCGGGCACAGATCCTGCTGCTGCTCCTCTGCACACAGGCACCCCCAGGCTCCGGTGGGATGGGGTTCAGGACGCTTCTCCTGTGGTCCCCTGTCCCCGCTGGCCCTGTGTGCTGGGCTGGGCCCCCCGAGAGTGATGGTCTCTTACAAATCTGCGGTCCGAGGAGCGCTTGACGTTGAGGGGGTTGACAGCCAGGTCAGGCAGCACGGCCGCCACCAGCTCGCCGGTGATGTCACCCGCAGCCACCGTGTTCAGCCAGTCCGAGCCAGAGATGCTCTGCAGGGACAGAGGGCTGGAGGGCACGGGGCTCCCGCCACCAGCCCTGGGCCCAGCTGGGCCTGAGCCGGCCACGGGGACAGAACAGCCCTGCCGTGGCCCTTACCCACACGGTGCCCTTGCGAGGGGCCACAAAATAAGCCTTGAAGCCCAGGTACCCCGCGTCGATGTAGTGGATCCCACAGAGCCCGTACCTGTGGGAAGGCACAGAATGAGGCCTGGGTGCCTGACTCTGCTGCCACCAGGGGTGTGAGAGCCAGGCACAGCCACCTCCACCCCCACAGAGCTGGCCCAGGGTGAGGGGGCTGTTCCTGCTCCAGCAGCATGGCACAGAGCCCAGAGCAGGCACAGGCAAGGCAGCTCCCAGAGGCCAAGGACTCACTGAGCTCCCAAACCCCTTTAGCAGCACACCTGTAGCCCAGTCCATGCCCTGGCCCACCCTGCCTCTGCCTAGGGTGGCATGGCAGAGGGGATGCCACGCTTTGCTGCTGCAGTGACACAAGACAGGCAGAGCCTGCCCCTGCCACGGCACAGCTGCACAGTCCCAGGGAGGGGGAGGCTGGAGCAGGCCTGGCAGCACTCACGGGGCGTAGCAGTTGTCCTGGGCCACGGTGATGCCGTTGTAGGGCAGCAGCCAGGCCACCTCGGTGCTCAGGAAGCGCTTGATGCTGTTGATGGGCTCGTAGAGCCGCCGCAGGTCCCAGAACTTGATCTTGCGGTCGCTGCCCACCGTCACCAGGAAGTTGCTGAGGAGCAGCAGCACAAAGGCAGCGCTGAGAGCCCGGCACGGAGCCGTGCCCTGGCCCAGCACAGGGCCCAGGTGGCCCCAGCCTTGCAGTGGCTCCGCTGCCCTCACCCTGCAAAGCCCAACCCCTCCGGTGCTGCCATTGGCACCACGGCCTCCCAAGCCCCTCTTGACAAAAGAGCTGCTCCTGCAGGAGGAAGCTCCTCTCCTGGCAGCCCCTGTGGCTGCTCCTGCCCTCACCTGTCAGCCTTGCACCACTCAATGCTCCGGACTGCCTGGTCATGGGCCAGGAAGCAGCGGAAAGGGTAGAGCTTGAGGGAGGCGTCGGGCTGGTGCACGCACTGCAGCAGGGATTTGGTGAGCAGGTTCCACACTGCCACGGTGCCTGTGGAGAGACTGTGTCCATGAGGCACTGCCAGCGGCACGGGTGCTTCAGCAGGACACCAGCAGCAGCACAGGCAGGGCTGTGGGAGCTGCAGAGCACAAGGGCCAGGCTGGAGCTGGGGCTGAGAGCAGGACAGGGCACAGGCAGGACACAGCAGCAGCACAGGCAGGGCCACAGGACACGGGGGCCAGGCTGGAGCTGGGGCTCCAAGCAGAGCATGGTAGCAGGTCCTGGCAACACAGCACAGAGCTGTAGATCACTGCAAGCCCAGCACAAAACTCCATCCAGGCAAGTTCAACAGATATGGACAAGCCCAGAGCCACAGACAGGGATGACCAGCGACCAGCCTGGAGGTGTGTCAGAACGACCACAGCCAGCCCAGAGGAGCCTCCCCCCTAGCCAGGCTGGGCAGAGGTTCCAGCACCCCCTGAGCCAGGCTGGGCAGAGGTTCCAGCACCAGCTGAGGCTGCAGTGCCTCTGCCAGGGCGAGGGCTGCTCCCCCAGCGCTGCTGCAGGGCACAGAGAGAGACTCACCGTCATAAAAGCCTGCTGCCAGGTGATGGTGGGGCTTGGAAGGCATCCAGGAGAGGCTGAAGCACTGCCCACACTCAGGGGCATGACCTGCCTGCACAGAGCCCACCTGCAGCGTGGCGATGCACTGCACCTGGGGGCCAAGGAGAGCCATGGGTCACTGCCCTGCACGGTGCCACCCGTGCCCCAGGGCCTGGGGTGGGCACGGCTCTGCTGTGCCCCTCCAACGCTGTGCAGGTGCCTCGGCTCCCCAGGCTCTGCCACCTGCACGCTGGGGAAGCTGGCAGGGATCACCATGGCAGGAACACTGACCTTGCAGATAAGGTGCTGGTGGAGGGACCCATCTAGAAGAGAGCAGAAGGGGGTCAGGGCAGGCTTTGGCTGTCCTGGGAGCTCCCTGCCTGGAGCCTGGATGGCAGCTCCTCACGGAGCTGGCCAGGGCTCCCAGTCCCTGTCCCACCATTCCCTGGAGCAGTGCCCCAGCACAGCAGGAGCTGAAGCACAGGGAAGAGCAAACGGGTGGCACAGGACCCCCAGGAGCCAGGCCCGCCTCTGTGCTGGAGGAAGCAGCCCCTGAAACACCCTCAGGCAGAGATGATGGGCTCCTGCCCCACCATGACCAGCACCAAAGCTGAGGTGGCACGGTGACACACAGCGGCCAGACCTGACTCTGAGCACTGCAGGGAGGCAGCAGGGAGCAGCTGTGCAGGGCATCTGCTCCATGGCTGACAGCACTGCAGCAGCCAGGCAGCACTGCAGGGCAGGGCAGGCTGCAGAGACCCCACACCCAACAGCTCAGGGCAGGACACCCACAGGAGCACCACGCACCTGTCTGCCAGAGAATCCTCCCCCCAACGAGAGAGGAGCTGTGGGGACCTGTCCCACATCCATCGGGCCCGGGGTCCCTGACCCCCAGTGTGGGGCTGTCCCCAGCACAGTGACAGGCACGTCACAGTCTGGAGCCTGGCAGCCACGGGGGGAGACACAGAGGAGCTGTGCATGCTCCTGGGCACAGCTGTGACAGCCAGGTTGCAGTGCCAGCCCCAGCTCTGCCCCGCAGGAACACAGGGATGGGGGTCCCAGTGCCCCAGGGACAGCACAGGGTCCCCAGTGCTGCAGGGACAGCACAGGGATGTGATCCCCAGTGCCCCACGGACAGCACAGGGATGTGATCCCCAGTGCCCCAGGGACAGCCAGCACAGTCTGGGAGCCCCCAGCAGGGCTTGTCAGCACAGCCTGGCGCTGCTGCTGTGGCTGGAGAGCAGCTCCAGCCCAGCCCTGAGCACAAGGAGTGTGCGTGCAGCCGCAGCCAGTGATGGGGGGGCCCTGCACGACGTGCCCCGGGGGCTGCG